ACGCCTCTGGTTAAGATGGTAAATTGTTCTAGTTAGAGGAATGAAAATGCAAGATCTACGTTATCAGAAAAGATAACTCACCTAATATATAATTTATTTTGTTGAGAATAAACAGTTTGCGGAGATATATATAATGCAGTACATATTTCAAGAGTATGAATGGTTCTGAGTTCTTACAAATATGTATGGTAAATTGAGCTTTATTCTGATCAAACAATATTTAAAGGAATAGTACACCCAAAACATGATTAGCCTTCATTTTCTACTCACCTCCATGCTGAACAACACTCTGGAGTACTTTTTTGATATCTCAAATGCATCTGGAGATCTGGGAGGCTTCTTGCTGTCTGCTGACATTCAAATAATGGAGGTCTATGGTGCCCGAGGCAGAAAGGTCCATAAAAGTCCACAAAAACGTGTCAATATTCCTCCATACTGCTCGTCCAATGTATTACAAGTGTCCTGAGTGGGTAGCATCCAGAATTTACTCGAAACGAAGTCATTTAGAATGTTTTTAGAGCATAAACAGTAGTGTATAGGATTTCCTGAAAGCGCGCACATGCGCGTTCACGACGCTACGGAAGCCGGCAGACCAAACCAGCGCATTCAGCTCGGCAAAGAACTCATGCTCTTCCTCAACACTGAAGTCCTCAGACATTTTTCTCTAGTTGTTTCTTTCTTTGCACAGGTAAACAGCACATTTGTTCTTCTACGCTTGCATTATCGGCAAAGCAGACGCTGAATGCGCACTTTCATCTGGTTTGGTCTGCCGGCTTCCATAGCGTCGTGAACGCGCATGTGCGCGCTTTCAGGAAATCCTATACACTACTGTTTATGCTCTAAAAACATTCTAAATGACTTCGTTTCGAGTAAATTATGGATGCTACCCACTCAGGACACTTGGAATACATTGGACGAGAAGTATGGAGGAATATTGAAACGTTTTTTGGTGACTTTTATGGACCTTTCTGTCTCGGGCGCTGGGCACCTCCATTATTTGAATGTCAGCAGACAGCAAGAAGCCTCCCAGATCTCCAGATGCATTTGAGATATCAAAAAAGTACTCCAGAGTGTTGTTCAGCATGGGGGTGAGTAGAAAATGAAGGCTAATCATGTTTTGGGTGTACTATTCCTTTAAAAACAAACAAGCAAAATGGTAAATGTATGTCTAATGTAGTGGTTCTGGTTAGGACCATATATTGGGATGTAATCACTGTAAAATCGATACTGCTCTAAAGAATGCCAAACTTGTTATTGTAAATTCGAGCCCCATTTGTCAATAATCCATTCTGCCTGTTGGACTCCAGTAGATGCCCTCATTTAAAACAGATTATAGTGTCCAAGATGCTGAAAGTCGGATGGGCTTTTAGTGTCTCAATGGCAGCTTAATTTATCAGATACCACAAGTAGAATAATATGGTCGTCTTTAATTTTTATGATGTTTTTTTATTATTCTATCAGCTCCTGCATTGGTTTACAGAATTTGTATGAAGCTGACATGAATTAGCAGGTTGATCCTGTAAGAATGAGCCCAGGGAATACCTGACGAAGGTTAAGATGCTGTGTAGAAAGTACCTTGCATAATCTGCTGAGTGTGCTTTCCATCACATTATGGATTCCAGCTGGAGGCTCGCATCCATGTGTAATAAACTTCCCTCCTATTGGTATTAAGACCTTGAATGTATTTGCAATATTTATCAGGAAGTGGAAAGCAGAATCCAGCCAATCTCATCAAATTGAATATTGACTGAATTGCACATAGCCCTGACCCCTCCAACTTAGCCCTAGTCGGGAGAGCTCCATCAGCAGTCTGTTTAAACTCATTTTTGTATGTTGGTCAGCATTCGCACTGCTGCTCTTCAAAGCCTAAACCTAGGACTGTACTGCAGGAATGACATCAAATTGAATGTGCAAAGTTTCGATTGCTTTGATGCAGTGAACCATGAAGGACTTTTTTTCATTTGCCTGACAACAGGCGGTCCCATAAACAATAAACGAGATTCCACCTTTATCTAATCGCTTATATTGTAGGACTTTACATACCAAGTAGATTTAGAAAAAAAAAGGTGTTGAAAAACCAGTGGGATGCAAACCATTTGTGTGCATAGAACAGAAATATTAAGGTAAACAGAGGTGGCTGGCAATGCTAAAGTTAGCAACTTACTTTTAGCTTCCTAAATGGACTAAAATAAAGGACTGTTTCACTTTTTTGTGGTTTTCTAAGGATTGCACACTCTATTTCACCACCTCCTTAAAAATCTTAAATACTTTGTTACTCCTGTAGCTGATAGTAACTGAACATAGATGCTTTAAATAGTTAGTTCTTGCAAAAGCAAACATTAATTTTAAATGCTTAGGTCATGTGCAGACCACTTTAAATTGAGGTAAACATGGTGCTATGTTGTCATGTGAAAGAACGACAGCACTCTGAGGCAGATTGTGGTTCTTTCTAACATATTTGAGCTATAGAGAGGAGTCTCTATTTCTGTGGATTATAAATAATCTACAGCAGTAGAGATTTAAGCCAACTGTCCTTGTTGATGTTTTGACCTGAAAGCAGACTGCATGATGCTAAAATACTGTAGGTATAATTCTACCAAATTCTTCTAACTGTTGATATCAAATCATGTGATTTTACAATCAGAAACAGACCAAACATGTTCTATTTTCTGGGGAGTCATGTAAATAGAAAGCATTTTATTATTCAGCAAGAATGTAGAAAAAAAACAGGACTTATGGAACAACCATCTTTGGAAAGATAAAGGTTTATTTCCCAACAGAAGAGCCTCATAGAAAGTTTGACAAAATAGAGATTGTGGTTTGTATTGGTTTATTTTCTGCAGTTTGTCAGTTATGAAACCTTCTATAAGAGGGGGAAAAAGTCGCCATGCTGGTTAAATGCTCTTTATATGTCCCCACATGACTCAAATCTTTGGTGACAAATGCTAACCCACTTGTGGGAATCTGTTTATCATTTTCATCAAAAGGTGCAACAAAAGACACAACTGCACCCTGGAGTAGTTTTGTCCAAACTTTGAATTTCTAACAATAAAGTACCTGGAAATAATCTATACATTCAGTAGGAGAGGTACTTATGTTATTGGTTTTCTCAGACGTGGTATTTTTCCATCTTCCCTGTTACAGTGAGTAGGCAGCATGGTTCTGGCTGCTCTTTGGGTTTCTTGTGATTCATCTAGAATTCAGAAAATAAGTCAGTGAGTAACTGATGGACTCAGAGCCCGTCTGCAGGGACGATGATGTCATTCTATAAAGGGTGGGTGTATGTGGTAAAATGTTAATTATTACAAACTGGACAATACTAATCTTTTGGTTCAAATTCAAAATCTTTTGGATTTAACAAATTTTACTCAAAAAAATAAAAAATTTGGGACATTTTTTGAAGAACTGGCCACCAAAAGAAGGGGTGTTGAAATTAAGCACCAACAATAAAAAAAAAAACTACACAATTATTTTAAAAACACTAACATATGTCACTCTTTTTGTGCTTCGAATCTAAAATGATTTACAGATCTCTCTTTTTTTCCAAATTACCCTAGTTTGTGTGTTGCATTTAAACATGACATTTTTTTTTATTTGTGAGGAGGATAAAATAAATATAATCTAAATGAAAAGGAAATTAGGTTTCAATTTTAGATTTTTTTTGTCCTCAGATAGGATGTTGCTTACCTAAAGAGATAAATAAATGAATGAATAATTCCCTAAGAAGCACTTAAATAATCATAGACACATTATTTCTCTCTTATGGGCAAGATTAAGGTAGTTTTTGACTCAATAAGTATGAAGACGCTGCTTTAAAACAAAAAAAAACTATGATAGGACTAATTTTCACAAATGGGCTAACTGGAGTTCTCTGTTGATTTTGTAGACATCAGTAGCTGTCAGGTGGGCCATGGTAGAAAGGGACATGGGCCAGATTACATGTTGGCATAGAAGAGCGAGACTTTTTATGCTTTCTTTGGTAGAAAGATAGTGATACTGACTGACAGCTTAACAAATATCTTATAAAATTCCACTTGTTTATATCATCTTTATCTTCAGACTGTGCCAACCGAACCTAACTTACCTATGGCGGCAGGATTCTGCAGAAACTCAACCATGAGCTCATACTATGTATAGCTATCTCCAGTCAGAAATTAGGGTGAAGTGTACTGATGTTTCATAAAGTTCCTTTATTTAAGGCCAACTGACCGTTCGGACAGCTGATCACTGCTTTTCGCTCTCCGTTGGTCATATAACTCCGCCTCCCCGCAGGATGCATGCTCCATCTTTGTTATTTTTCGTTGCTGTCACTACCCGACAGCAGGTAGCTGTCTCAGCAGATCCCATGATGCTGTATCTGCTCGTCTAGTGACCATGGATGATCTCTATTTTTCAAGGTGCATTGTGGGAGATTACAAGTTCACTACTTTTTCATCCATCATTTAAAATGCTGTATTCACTATATAGTGCCCTATGGTGATTTGGGCAGACATTCAGACATGGCCCAAGATTAAGAAAAAATATCCTGGTGAACCATAGTCGAGCAGTAAGCTAGTAGAAAATGTTAGCAAACTTCCTCTAAAGCCTTTCAAAATAAAGCAAAAAAAAAAGGAACTTTCCTATCCATCTGTTTACTTTATATTTGTGTTGGTTTGGATTTATGAGGTTAGTTACAATAGTTGATCATCGGTTTTACAATCAGTCTAAATATCAAGCCCTTAAAAACACAGTAAAGTTTTTACTTTGGGTTTGTTACACTATGATCCACAAGCGCATTCTCATTCACCACAAGCTTATATAATGCTAAACAAGCATATTTTACTAAACTTAGGTGAATATCTGCCGCATTGATGCTTATTATAAAAGGCTTGCAGATATTTCAGTATTAGTTAAGCAATTTATCTGTATATTTTCCATATTTGTAACCCTGTATCAACAGGATTTAAGGCTGGTTAGTTCCCTTTTATCTCCAGCTGATTCCCTTAAATTATTGTTATAACGTAATATTATATAATCATCAATTATACATGATGTCTGCATGTGTCAAATTTGTAATTTTGTTGGATTGTCTGTAATAAAGCTGGACATTCAAGACTCAAAGGTGCCCCAATGCTAAAAGCTGATTGGTCAGTCAGCTATCTGTGTCCATAAATACATTTGCAGAACTACATGTCCAGCAAACATAGGTTGTTGCAAGCAGCTCTTATTGAGTCTGTGGATGGAAGTTGTTTTATCTAAAACTGAGCAGAATTATGTGTTTGCCCCTTTTTGTGGCTATAGCTTGGGGGGGCTAAAATGATAGGGCTTTATATCATCGCATCTAAAGAAAACATTAAAAACTCCCTATTTGTAGTTCTGAGTAATATTCCTGACCATGTGCTCATATGGGAAGCACCAGATGTTACCTTCTAGTGATGTAATGTTCATTTAATAATTAATAGATGTAGAAGGAAGATCAATAGGAGCACAAATGACAAAGCGTATGTAACAATTGTATGGAGGGAGGAGGATGAAAAAGGATGAGCACGTCTGGCAGACTGATGGAAACCCCACCCAGACCTGATTCCTTGCCGCTCCGTCCGCTGATAAGCAGCTGATGAGGAAGTGGAGCAGTATTTCACAAGGACGTATAGGGCAGGATGATCAACTCTATTGAGCTAATCAAGATACTGTTGGTATGTTTGAAGCTGATTTCTCTTTTATTCTTATCTCATGTTTGCCTTGACAGAGTCTCTGTTTAAATAAGCAAAACCAACTTTGAAAACAAGCGCTTTTGTTCCTTTCTTTCCAGAAATTAGATTTCTCACTGCTAGTAATGTTTTTGTTCTTGTTGCGTTTGTACATGTTGTCTTGACTTCCTCTTTCTCTCTTTTGTTGCAGCTAAGACCCAGAGAGCCTCTGTCAGTTGACCTCATAAGAACCAAAAGAGCATTGATTTGTCCATGTCTGAGTCTGGCAACATATTATTTTTTCAAAGGACAGTAATCATGTGGGCCCCTGGTATTATTTTTACAAAAGCTCCTTTTCTAGTGGGAAACAAACCAGACTTTTAGAGCTGGAAAAGGGAAACTACAAGACTTAAAAAGTGGAAGACGCCTTCTGTTGGAAAATCTTTAGACAACCATTTTAAAAAAATTCAGACATCCTGAAAATGGTTCGCTTGACCAGAAAACTCAGATATGTTGGTGTAAATGCTAGTTTGGCTTTTTGGTCATGATTGCAAGAGTTCTGCATCGTTACTGGAAAACTGTCTTCTTGTCAGATCGTATCTCAGGGGTAAGTCTGTGATTTTAAAGCCATGGAGGGTCTTGAGCAACTTGATGTGGTGGGTGATATCAGCCCAGCCCTGGAGGCAACAGAGGACTTCATCCACTGCATGGATAGGAGGATCCAGAGTCAAGGCCCAAGCCTGGCTCAGACCAGCCACCATCAGCCTGCCAGGCAGCCTAAGCAGCTGCAGGATGTGTCCAGTGCTGCTCTGGGGAAGCTTAGTTCCAGCGGTGTGTGGAATCTTCTGGCCGGAGAGCAGCCCGAGGTTGGGCCCCTCGGCCTAGCCTGGGCCGACAACTTCAGCCTGCTGGGTCTGGGCATGGGTTTGAGGCATGGCAAGAGAAACCGAGCACGCTCCACCAATGACCTGGTGGCCCATATGCAGGAGTGCAACAACAGCACGGGAAGTTCCTCATCCAAGTCTGTTTTTAAGAAAGGACACAATCGGTCCAGGTCCGACGTCAACTATCGTCCGTCTGCGTACACGGACAATGGACTGCCCACAGTGGACTGCAACACTCTGAAGAACATGATCCTCAACCAGCAGCAGGACGGTGAGCGAACATTAATTTCTAGAAGAAAAGCGTGAAAAGATAGATTAGGCTTTGAATTCATGATGCTTCAAATAATTCCCTATTCTGTGATCTGTTTATATCTCAGAAATTGTGTACTAGATTTTATTGAGGCAGTTCTTTATCTAATTTCTCTTTGGACCCTAGCTTCTGGGAAGTGTCCATGGTCTGTACATGCTTTGTACTTTAACACCAATTGTACCAGGCAACTTGAAACCAACCAGAATCAAAATGTTTGATTTCACTGCTTACTGCACATATAAAAGTATTCCTTTAAAACTTCCTTATTTGTCAGAAATTGACATTAAAGTAAGCTCCACTTTAATTCAACGCTATCTCAGGCATTTATTAGCTAATATTTGTCCAGTCTTGGTCAAAGCACAACTCAAAGATCTGTTGTGTAAACAAAATATCTATTGACAAACGGATACGATTTGACCCAAAGAGAGAGAACTACAGAAGAAGAAGAAATCTTTCCATGGATGAAAAAGCAAGTAGTCAAATTTTTAGCCCATAAAAGCATTTTTAGTTCCTTTATTGTATTAATAGAAAGTCTTTTGTTCCTTGCAGGTGTTTTGTTTTAACTACTTTTGGTTCCACAATGACTCAAAGTTAACAACCTTCAGTTTTGTGTCATACTATGGTAGTGTACTAAAACTCTATCTCCATTCATCTTTTTTGTTTGTCGAGAAATACGATCATCTTCATGATGTCAGGGCTAAACAAAAAACAACTGACGAAGGGTTTAGCAGTTAAACTGTAATGTAAACTGGACCTCAGTAAAGCTGCATCACTGATCATTTTGACATACTCCATGACAAACTAAGGCTATGTTCACACTGCAGGCCTTGATGCTCAATTTCAATTTCAATTTTCAATATGGTTAAACATAAATACTGCTCTCCACATCATCATCTGCCATGGTTGTTGTTTTTCTTGATGCTTCTGTGTACAAGACGCATAATAGTGACATTTGTTGGGTATTAATGACGTTCAGGTCGGATGAATCCGACCTGGCCATTCAGACACAGGTCGCATTTGAAAAGATCGGATTTGTATTGGATTCAGGACCACATAGCCAAGTGGCCTGGGTCAGATTGGAAAAAATCGTATCTCTGTTTTTCAGACTGCCATGAAAAGATCAGATTCAGGTCGCATGTGGGCCAAAAAATCGGATTTGGGTCACTTCAGGATGCGGTGTGAACGTAGCCTTAGCGAACCTCTACCTCCCTCCTGTAATTTCATAAAATTCTTTGATAATCATTTTAGGTAAATAATCTAGATGTGGGGCCAAACTAACACCAAAGTTCAAGTCAAGGACATTTTGGTAATTTATTAGAATATTCAGAGAAGTGTTATACTTCTGTCCACCTATCCATTTGTATTTAAAACCAACATTATGTAGAAATCTGGCTTATTTGGAGTATTTCAAAGGGTGTCCACCTTGGAGTATCACATCTTTAGGCTGTGAGCGGGGTAGGGGGATCCAGGGGGATCCTCCCTTCTACTTTTTTCCTTATTATGGGAAGTATGTGTGCTTGACTAGAGGTGGGAATTTAATAAGGATGGCATTAGATAATTTTTAGGTACATTATTAAGTTTCATACCTTAATTCAAACAATCAAAGTGTAATGCTACGTTCACACCGCAATATGAGCTGCAAAAAAAGCCCTTAGTGCATAATTTTTTATGCTTGCACACAGGTCAGATGTGTACAGATGCATCTGATGCTTCTGCTGCTCTTGTGTTTAATGGCAGACAGTGGCTTTGCTATATTAACTGTGATCAGCGGGTAAAAGGTAGTTTTAAATATATTTTTATGCAAGAAAGTTCACCAGTCAGCTCATCAAGATTACAATCCTGCCATAAAATATTAACTCGCTGTCAGAGCAGCGCAGAAGACCCCAAGATACCTGTGGTGCGCTGACACTGAAAATCCCCAGCAGCAACTGCCTCAGACTTGATCTCCTCTTGGGGGATTTCCCCTACTGTTCATGGCATTCATGGAAGTATATGTTGGCGTTTTTTAAGGTATACGCTACAAACTGCAGCGAGCAGAATAATAAAAGCAAACATATTTTTCTGGCAGGTTTCAACATTTGAAGTTAATTTAGGCGTAAATAAACAGTTTTAGTGAAGTGAGCTCTGCCAGCTTGCAGATCAGCTTCTCTGATTGGTTGATGTGGTGCGTCGAGCAGCAAAAAAATAAAATTTTCAAGCTCCAGTATCTACTGCTTGTGAAGTTTAAAACATATATGTTTCCAGAGGGTAAATTAAGGCGTATCAAAGCCGTACATCCCGAAAACTTTTTTAGTAAAGGGCGTACAATGTACCTCTTTATGCATTGCTAGCTAAAAGCCTGGTAAGATCTGAAAGAGAACGGAGTGCAATAAACATTAATAAAACAGAGTTACCTTGGGTTTGATACCTTTCCTTTTGATTCCAAATAAACTTAACTAATATACGGTAATCCTTTTCCAGCTCCTGAACTGTGACCTGGCTGAGATTTATAAGGTAATCAGCATTACTTAGTCCATGTGTCTGTGCTTTCAGGGTTCGGCCCCCTGGTGTAATCTTTCTCATTTAGGTGAACTGGCCCTATAATGACATGGTATTTACCTAATTGGACATTTACGCTGCAAATTGTTGCTTTGCCTCTTTGAAGATGATGTCAAGCCCTCTGTTGACCAAATCATTGAACTTGAAGTATTCCTGATTCTCAGCAGACGGCTGCCCCTTACCTGAGAGAGGCATCCACACCGCCTCCCCCTCCTCCTTTCTGATCGGCAGTCCATTGAGTGAAAAGCTTTCTCATCTTTTGAGAGGCTTATGGAGGACAGAAGTCCCCGACTATTTGTGCTGCAGATCGGGGCGTGTGCCGTACTTAGGTTGAAGCATCCCCAGACAAAGCAATAATGATAGAAGATGATGATATCTTAAAATGACACAGCTGTGGCTTGACCGTCCATATTCAGGCTGAGAGCCCAACACACTCACACACACTCAGAGAGAGCCTATTTGTTTGTGTGTTTTGGCTATCCGAAGACCTAAGGAGATCCGAAGGGATCCTGGGGGATAATAGCCCGTAATCCTGTCAGCAAATGGACTCAAATGAGGCGAGAGAAGAGGCAATCCAATTACCAGGCTGCTGATACTGGCAGGATTATTTAGTATTAGCATATGTGTGAAAAGGTATCAGGCTGTTTGGACTGGCGAGATGTGAAGTGAAAGACGAGAAGTAGGAAAAAGACGGTAATAAGCAGAAAGCAAAGTGATTTAGCTGGGCCTCGCTGTGCCTCTTTATTCACATAAATAACAATAAGGAAGCCTGTTTTGTTGCCTTTCCATTAGTGACAGCTGGGGATGCTTAGACGCTAAATGGAAAGGATTAGCACAGTTTTATGGAAGCAGTATGTATACTTTATGTGTATTTGGATAAACAAAGCCAAAATAAAGCTTACTTTTGGTTCCTTTGTACTTTATTAGAGAAGTTCTTTCTCGGTTTACAAAATTAAGATAAAACACAACTGTTATTGCTTAGTTTATGAGTTATTTAACCAATGCCTGGTGAGACACAGGGAAGACGTCAGGTGCATAAGTCTTATTAAGAGAAAGGGTGCAACTCGCACTCGTTACTGCTTTTATTATAGTAAATGACAAATTAAATATGTCATTTAAATACTGCTGCTGAAAACTGTGATGATGGTTTTTTCCTCCTATCCGCTCACATATTATTTCTTTGCTATAACAAAGCAGCCCAGCCACACTACAGTATAAATTAGGTGTGGACTTTAAGGGTAGTTGCCATTAGCGCTAGGGGTGTGCAAAATAATCGTAATGATGATGCATCGTGATTCTAATTTTCGTGATCTACTGCATCGATTCTTGACGCCAACTATCGATTATTAATAAAAAAAAATAATAAATATAATTGCATGAATGTTTGGCGAACATCAGCCAAAAACAAGTGTAGTACAACTTCCAGTCCAGTAGATGTCGCTGCAGATGTGTTGACGCACACTGCCTTGTGTTACAAGCATTTCCGGCCGCGGGATACTGCGCCGAGTCATTAAAAACCAAAACATGGAGGAGAAAATATTGCAATGCATCGCAATAATTCAAGTATTGTGATACATCGTGATAGAATCGCATCGTGGCCTGTGAATCGTGATACGAATCGAATCGTGACTTCTTTGGCAATACCCACCCCTAATTAGCGCTGGGTAATTAATTGCAAAATAATTGCAATTTAATAAGATGCATATTCGAATCGCAGAGGCGCTTGATTTTCGTTGACCACATTTAACAAGAGAACAAGACATAACATTTCTCACTGCAGCGCTTCAGGGGGCAAAAATATATTTAAAGAGGGTTTCCTGCCACACAGAATAGAAAGATTTATCCAGCATGCAGATCCATGAAAGTAAATAAGCACTTTATCACATAAAGGTTACAATACAATCCTGCAACAATAGACCGAATGAGCAAGCTTTGAAGGCAATGTAAAAAACGGAAACCCTGAAATTAAACATTTACAAGTTTGTGATAAGTGCTAAGGAAAATCCAGATAAAATTGTAATCTCAATATTGGTGAAAAATAAACGCAATTTTGATTTTTGGCATAATCCTTCAGCCATATTCTACATTAAACCAATTGGCCATATTTTATCATCAATATGAAAAGTACATGAAAGTAGGACACTTAAAATATATCATCCTTTTGAAAATTCTATCCAAATTGCTTTGCGATTGCCATAATCCACACACTGATATTATGACAACATTCAGGATGTTGTGCCGTTTAACTATTTCATATCCGCCTTTTTTTTACTGCACTTAAGCCAGGGAGCTGAAGTTTTTTATTCACACGATGAAAGATGGGTGCCCTCAGTGGCCATATTTACTGCACAAGAACAGCTAAGATTACTTATCTTATTATATTATTACGTATCACATTTCCTATAATTATTATTGAATCTCATGCGACGCTATCCTATAAAGATGCTTTACTCACCTTGGCTTGAAAGTAAAACTTGGAGCATCAAATACTGTCTTGACTATTTCTTTAATTATCTGGCGGCAGTACTGACATTTATACCTTGGAGAAACAGCAGAACTCGAAATCCCCTTTATTTCCTTTCCGCTCCAGCGTTCATACCAAGATAATTAACAGTTTGACTGTAGCTTAACACTGGTGGCTCCACTTGATGTATGTTCTGATGGAAGCCTGTGTTAGCTCATTTATTACCAAAAAAATATGCAGTCACTTAAGCAAACGAGAAGACATTGATATAGAGAATAGATTGAAGTGATAACATGTAGCAGCCAGGATAGCCGTCTGACTGGAATTAGCTTGTTTAATAAATTATAGTTTCGCAGCATGATTGAGTGGAATACTGAAGAGTTATTTAGTGGTATTGAGTGTGACGTATGATTTATTATTGAGGATTTGTGTGTGTTTACGTTGGACTATTATTGTGTAATGTAAAACCCGAGCAGGTGGATGCGAAGGCTAATTTAATAAAGCAGTTTTCCTCTCCGCATTTCTTAATTCTCATCTTGACTCTCCCAAGCGTGAAGTCTGCCAATCAGTTTGGCCTGGTTTGAGTTGAACCTATTTGCATATTTATTTATTCCTCTTAGCAAAAGCTTTGTTAACATGCAAAGTCTGTGATCTAGAGCGACTCCATGTCTGCCGCTGGTTTGATAAGATTGATGAGAGCCTGCTCTCGCCGGCCGTAAGTTAACCAGGGCTGTGAATTATTTCCTTTTCAATGTTTTCTAGCTGAGTGACCCAGCGCATTAAAGAAACGAAATGTTTTTTTATTTATTTTTTTTGCCCATTAGGTTGAATTGTGCTACTCAATGAGATTGTCAGACTGGTTTAGAAGCGGACCGTAAGTGATTGCTGTTATTTAAATTATAAAACTCCACCTAATAGTACAATCAGATGGGAGTCTTCAAGGTCCTGCATGAGGTACTATATGGGGGTCGTGAAAGTTTTGGTTGATTAGACTTTTTTTTTTTTTTTTTCTTTTTTTATATCCCCCCCCCTGCAATTTTTTCAGCTAATTGAAATGTCTTTAAATCCACATCAACATGAATTCAACACACTGTAGTAAACAGATAAATGGAGGCAGTAGATGTCTTTCAGTCATCAATGCACACATTCAGAGACACACAGCAGCTCTTTGAAGCTGGGCACCGTTTCATTCACAACACCTGTCCCATCAACCAGGAATCAGAATCAGGAACAGAAATACTTCCGTTACATGACTCCATCTGTAATAGAGTATAGGACCAGTTTGATATAACACAATTTCATAGAATATATATAACCAGGGGGTCCCCGCTCTATCTCCCCATCAGTTTGGGGATCCTTGGCCTGGAAAATGTTGACATTTTTTCTTTCCTTAAAAAATCTTCTTTTTTGTTTAAAGCATCCTACTTTAGTATTTCTACTATATATATATCGGGAAATATTTACGGTAATTTTTAGGGATTTCCTTGTGTTGCATTTATAGAAGCATTCGATGCTATATTAAATTTCTCAAAACCAATGCTGTACGTACGGTGGACTACTTGATATTTCTAAAGTACCCTAATAAAACACTCCATATCTTTTTAGCCCTAATATACTGCTCCAACAGCAGTAAACGGCTCTAAAAGCAACATCACCTCAATCATGGATTGGTCAACATTTCTTTCGCAGTCGCCATCTGGCTAAAGTGCGGCATCTACTCGCACTACTGCCGTTCACTGTAGAGCTAGGCTAACACTAGCATGTATGCTCTCTGTTTTGATAAGTATTATTGATGATTTAGTTTGCAACAGATTTCAAACAAATCACAAAATTTGGGGAAAAAGTAGAACATTTGAATGTTTAATGACTTGTATTTCACTCTCCTGGGTTGCCGTTCAGCATAGAACCCAGAGCAGAACCCATGACATGGAGGCAGGAAAACCATGGCAACCAGTTATCCTTGTTTGATTGTCGACATTATGGTAAAGGGTGACAAAAGAATAGTTTGGGATACGCTGTCTAACAATAATATATTGTACATTTTTTAATAAAATTTTTTAAAGCAGGCAGGGATTTAAGAAAAAATCTTTTTATAATCATAATATATTTATAAAAAAATAGAATAAAGAAGCCTCATAGCTTTCATTTTGGTGTTATAAGGGCTGCTACGCTTTGCTCACTTCCGGGTCCAAAAAAATAATAGGAATAGATAAAAAAAAAAATGAACCATGGTGAAGTGTGTCTAATTTGCTTTCCTTATTTCAAGCATGTTTGTATAATTTTAGCCATTTTTGTGATTGTAGTAAGTCATTTATGACTATTCTGCAGGTGGTTCTCTCTGTTCCTCTTTTTACTGGGGAAATGGCTCTCATCCTTTTCTTGCATGAATTTATTAAATTTGCCATCTTATGCAACTGTATATTGAACAGAGTGAACATATCCTTTGTTTTCCACAGTGGTGAAATTCTGGATGTTTTATATCTTTTGTTTAAAGCTTTAAGCTTTTTTTGTCACATTAAAGTCCTTTTAAGACTAACTGATATATAAAAAAACAACTTTTTATGATTTGTGTGTCCACAGAAACACTAGCTGACTGATCAGCGAGTTGTTTTTATTATACTGTTGACTGAACTTATCCTGAACACAAAACTATGAGTCATTTAACAAGTTTCTCCTTTTTGTTCTATTTGTGTCCAGTTGACAAAAGCAGTAGTGGCAGTGTGGTGAAGCAGGGCGAGATGGAGCAGCGTGAGGGCCCAAGGAGCCGCTGGACACCCTGTTATGTTGAGCTGACTCCCTGTGAGCTGCGGCTCTACACTTTGGACAGCAGTGCCAATCGCCAACTAGGCACTGCCTTCTCCCTGTCACACTGCCAGAGTGTTGTCGCCCCGGCACCCTGCAGCCAGTCGAGTCAGATGAGCCAGCCTGGTGACAAGCGCACACTTCAGGCCTTGTTTTTCAACAGCACACGACTCCAGCTGAAGGCGGCCAACCAGTGGGAGGCAATGGAGTGGAGAAGGCTGATGTGGGAGAAGGTTCAGGCAGCTAGACCCATAAGGCAGGACAACCGCAAGCATAACAGTGGGCTGGATATTAAGCAGAGTGCTAAGTTTCCCGTACCGATGTCACCTTCCTCTTCGCCCTCTCCCTCTGCACTGGACACTCAACCTGATGGGGACTGCGACACTCCAACCTCATCAGAAGCATCGCTTTCTAATAATTCTGGAGTCCTGAGCAGACCATCCACCCTCCCTCTGTTTAACCAGCGCTTCCAGGATGTGCTGAAAGCTGGACTTCTTCATCTGCTGTTGGATCAGAACAACTGGCGGCCCTTCACCTTTGTCTTGACAAGATCTGCTCTCCAGGCTTTCCCTACAGAAGGGAGGGGCTCTGTGTCCCAACCAGTCCTCCAGTTCTCCCTAGCGTCCTGCTTGTCAGTACAGCAAGATCCTGTACCAGAGACTGGAGAGTCATGGTTGGATAAAGGGCGGTATTTCCAGGCTGTGTTCCCCAAAGAGCTCCTAAAACTCCAGGCAGATGATCATCTAAAAGCTCAGGAGTGGGTGGAAGCTCTACAGCAGGCATTGGATGCACACAAGTCCACACAAGAGGACAAGAGAGAACCAGGGGAAGGACCTGCTGGATTACAGGGAGTGTTGTTGAGATCCAAACCATCAAGGAAGCAGAGGGAGGCCCAGAGAGCCAAGCGGCAGTCAGTCACCACCAGTTTCCTCAGTATTCTCACCTGCCTGGCTGTGGAAAAGGGACTCACTGCTCAAAGCTTTAGGTGTGCTGGTAAGTACCGTGCAAAATGTCCAATCCATAGTCGAGATCTCTTTAAAGTAAGAAGTGTACATTTGTCCTCCTATAAATATTTAATATAAGAAGCCCTTTAATGTCTTCTTCTAAATCTTCATTGGAACTTTGAGCTCAAACTTTTGCCAAAAAACACACTTTTTTAGGCTTTTTTCAGGTTTTAAAAGATTGATGTTCCAAAACCAGTAAATACTTTTAATTGTAATTGGTTAAATGGAGCATAATAGTGAAGTGTTCCCACTATTCTATCTATTGCTTATGATGCTAGTCATCGCATTAAAGAATGACAACTTTAGCTTTTGTAAAATGATTTACCTCGGCAGTCATTGAGTGGAAGCTAAATGAGCTCAATCCATCGCTAACTTTAAAGCTGGAAGCTACAAGTTTAACTCCTCCCAGCCAGTAAGTGGAGCCCTCACATTCACCTAAGTCTACATCCGTATGGGTTCCCAGCCAGTAGCCAGATCTGCTAATCCTCCTCCTTGTACCTTCTGATCTCCTTATCTTCCTTACGTCAGCACCGGTGCTCAAAAGCCTAACCAGTCTACACACCCTCATTTTGTGTCATTTTTGAACAAGCTATTTCTTAGCTCTATCTTGGCAGCTCCAGCTCATATTACATCAACCTACTGTTCCTTTTGGACGTTGGCCTCATAAACAGAAGTAAATATTTATTTATTTTGAACCAGTCAAAATTGATAAAATAGTTATGTACAATATTTTGTTTTCTTCAGTAGAATTTATACTTTGGTTCTGCGTCACAAGACGTGGACATATTGTGATATTTGAAAACAAAAGAATTTTGATACAAAAGTTGTAGCTATGACCTTTAATTTGGGGCGAGCATTGGCAAGGGTGCTTCGATATGATGCATTATTATCACGATATTGAAATATGAAATATGTGGTACCGGGTTAATAATATCAAAATTAAATGTTGACATAAAAAAAAAAATGGCTGCATACGTTCATCAAAAGATATTGATTATCCAGTTATCTTGATAGCCATGTTGTTTGGGGTTTAAGTCAGTCTGCGTCCACCACTGCCTCTACTAGAGAAATGGCGCTGCCCCGCACAGCATATGGGCTCCTCGGCACCATCTACTGGAGCGGTGGTGCAAAAGTGGCCCATTTCCCCCCATTGTTTTTGGTAAAAACATTATTTTTATTTTTATCGATAATAGGAGCTGAAACATCATTATCACATTGTGTGACAGAAAACTGCAATATATCTCCAAATATTTTTTTTTTCCACAATGTAAAGGTGTTTTAAATCTGATGGTAAATAGTTTGTTTGATGGCCGACTGCAGGTTCAGCTACATGAGCTGATAGCCCATCTAATTATATCTACAGTAACATAATCTTTTAACAAATCTTTTTTGAAAAAGTATTAACATTATTATTATCAGCCTTTGGTATAGCTAAATTGTTGTTGTTTTTTTGTTTTAGAACAGCCCCAATGAGTACTGTATACATCTCTTTTTTTCATTAATGGTTAGTTCAGTATTTAAAGGTTCTAATTGCAGAGTAAAATGTGCAGCTTCATGTACTTAATTTAATCTATTCTAAAGCTTTTTACATATTAGCAATTCTCTATTGATATTCAGTTAGTCCTTACACTAGGTCCTTGGACAGCTCTACAAATGCCAGGCGGTGCTTTTACTCCCCCTGGGTGTGAAACGTGGGCTTCTTCTCACTCTCCCTATGGAGGGCTTTGAATAATCGCCGTTCACCTCCCTTTTTTATTTGTAACCACTGGCTTTATTAATGCAGAGCTGTCTGAAAGGACAGCTGAAACGGGAACAAGGATGGGGGGCCATCCGGGGCCAACTGATGATAATTGGCGGGCTTAAAGCACTGGTGGAGAGGGAAAAACGGATGAATGAATGAATCTGTGAGTGAATGAGAGCAAATGAAAGCTGCCTGGGGATGCTACAGTGGACAGCTGTGAGCGGAGCTGTTTGTTGGAGGGGTTTCAGGTCAGAGCTGGATGGACGGGACAGCTGGATACGTCTGTTTTCTATAGAGAACACACCTCGGCTCCTTCACTCCGTTTATTACTCCTTTTCATTCTGCTTGCTTTCACCAGTTCATTCATGTTCATAACCGTGTCCTGTTTTTGTCTCCATTTCTCCTGCTGTCCACCCATTGAAATGACAGTATCCCTTTCTTCCCTCCTACTGTGTTAATTAGCACAACCTGAAACTCCATTTAAGCATTTAGATAAAAAAGAAATCAAATTTACAAGATTTCTCCCTCCTTGTTCTTCCCTCTCTGCTTTTTTTCGTTCTGAATTCCTCTGCAAATCCTCTAATATATGCTAGAGTTTTAGGAACTATGAAGTTCTTCCACTTTAGAGGCTACATACTGTAAAACCCCTACCGCACTACAGTGAAAGTAAAAGTCTAAAATACAATTTCCTTATGCAGACGATTCATTTGTGACAGCACTAAGCGATGTTCACCGGAAAGATACCTGACACCAGGTATCACCTACTGTTTAGAGTTCAACAAAGAAAACAACATATATTAAAGCAACAGTATGTCATTTACAGCCACTAGAGGTGCTAGACCTGTATTTCCTAGCTTTAGCAAGCCTTAAAGCAACACTGCTGTAAAGTGGCGCTCTGGGTGACATGACTTAATAACTGACAGATCCAACCGTTTTAAAAAGGGTCAGCCTGTCAGAGCCTCACTACATGCAGTGTTAATTACCTGAAAGATCATTTTACATATATTTCAAATTAAGCTAATTGGGGCTGAAACAATCAGATTAATCGTGATTAATTGATTAATGAAATAATCCTCAACTAATTTAGTAAATGATTTATCGTTACCTGGAGTATAGAGACTATAAAGCATGCCTTTAGCTGACAGAGCGACCTACTGAGAGCATTAAATATATGAAAATTGTAAAAAAAAAAATGTCTGTCAAAATGCTCTATCAGAACTACTCAAGTAGAAATGTTTCACATGGTTTCAATTTGTAAGATTTTTTCTTTAAAAAACCTTTCGCTATCCAATTATTAATTGATTACTCAAAAAAAATACTCAACAGATTAATGGATTAGCAAAATAATCGTTAGTTGCAGCCTTAAAGCTGATACTTTGTCAAAACTTACGTAGTGTTTACTTTAACGGTGGATTAAATGCAATTTAGGTGCCTAAGATAAAAAGAACTTAAAGTACAGTTTTGTGAAGAAATAAAGGTATATTCAGGTGAACTATGTAAACATGCCACACACAATCTCTTTTACCCCTTTTTCATTGGCCGAAAAACCCGTTTAAACCCACGAACAATCAACTTTTAGTGGCATTGGGAACAGCTCACTGACCCATGTCGACCCGGGTCAAACGACTCAACAAATGACCCAGGTTAAAATCGCCTTAGAACGGGTCTGCTCCGATCGGCACACAGTGGGAACATCAGACGTCAACAACGGTGCAAGTCACGTCCAATCTAATAAGCCAAAACAAGTCTGATTACATTGAATAAACATGGCGCAGCAATGGGCAGAGGGATTTGGATGGACAAAAGCGCCAACCAATAAAGAATAAAACACCATTACTTTGTCCTGGCTCTCTACCATGTTGCTCTCCATTGTTCTTCCCTGATTACCTCCCTGATTTCTGTCGCACTGGTGAGATCATCAATGCTAACCCAGCTTGATGGCATCACCAGACACGCAGTGGTGGGGGGGGACAGAGGCCAAACAGTTTGCCATGGGGAGGTCAGTGGGAAGAGAGCCAAATGTTGATTGTTAGCGGGTCGACCTGTGTTTGACAAACCTGTGTTAACCTGCTGATTTCAGTGGGAAAAATACGATACATGCTTCCGTTTGTGTGCATGTAAACAGCTGCCACTCAAAGGTTAGCAGCGTAGCGTTGCGGCAAAATGGCAGATGGTGCATCCAGCAGACAGAAATGTTCACCGAAGGCAATCAGGGCTTATTACTGTCATAGAGAAAAAAAAACAATCTTTGACAAAGAAATTATTAGATTAGGTAAGGGACAAAACGAGGATCAACATTAGCCTTATGTTTCTGAGGTAGAGAGCGGCTTAAGAGCTAAACCAGCTAGCTAGCTAGCGTTTCTCCTCCTGGGGTGGTAACAACATGAAATCAAACGATTCTTGTTGATTGATTCAACATAATGCAGCAATTGTGAGATGTGAGATAACACTGTCTGTTTGACCAGCAATGAAACCGACATTACCGTTATAAGGCGTGCCTCGTGAGCTGCCTACTGTGATCCTCACCAACAATAAGAGCATTCTCTTTTTGAAAAAAAAAAATACAACATTGAAACGGGTTCACTTTGAACATGCTTTAGTCCACCCTTTGCATATGCATATGCTATTTCTATCCAGTGTAGTACATCAGTAGTTGTTTAGCATCAAAATCTATGCCGCTAATTACATATGGGATGTGCTGCTTTCCAGATTCCTTTTGAAGGAAGCGCTTTACTTTTTAAGACTGTGACTCCCCGTTGCCCCCTTAAAACCTCTCCCCACATGTGTGATTACGCACACACACCACAGGTCCTGCAGATTGGTGGCCCCTGATGTTTCGTTGGAGCACATTCTCAGGCCCCCTGGTTTACCTTACCAGTCCATTAGAGTTGGACTGGGGGGTGGGGCTGTTTCAAGCGAAGTGGGAATCGGTAAATTCAAGGGAACTGCGGAAGTTGGAGTTTTGCTTCAAAAGATTGACAGTCGCAGACACACAATCTTAGACTCTTCATTTGTTCACGTTTTCATTGGAGTGTTTGGTCACTGTGAATGAAGAACATCAAAGCTCGCGCCTCTGGTCTTTTCAGTTCTAATTCACTCATGTAAAGACCAAACACGCGCACACACACAGCAGTGTCCTGTCAGAGGTGTGGTGGTTTGAACCAGCAGCGGGCAGATGAAAAGCATGAGTCCTCTTCTTCTGATGTCATCTCTCTCTCTCTGCCTGTGTCCCTGTCTCTTTCTCCCAG